TGGGTCGAGGTCGCAGCTGAACAGTCTGACTCGTCGGCAGGCCTCATCCCGGGAGCACCTTGCGGGGTCAGTGTTGAGCAGCAGGTCGAGGGAGCAGTTGGACACCAACGGTGGAGGAGCTGCGGCGCAGCCATGTCGCGAGTGGCTTCGTACTTTGCCTCCACGTCAGCCTTCACATTCTGACCAGCCTCCCTCTTCCTCACCTCCGCCGCCAATCTCTGAGGAGCCCCAGCAGGAGCAAGTCCCTCCTTCGGCTCATGTCAGGGGACGCCTGGACTCAGCCCCTCCATGTAGGTATCTAGGTCAGACTGTCCCACAATTTGCAGGTTCAAATATAAACCCTTTGGTTAGACAGCCATCCAGTGAACACCTGGATATTCTGTCCTCCATCCTAGCGTCCTTCAATTCCACTGTCCTCACTCCTCCCACTGCTGCCTCACACCCTGGGCCAAATGGCTCCGCCCACGGACCCTCGCCCTCTCCTCCCCGGTCTACCACCTCCCACAGCATATCTGAAGTCTCCCCTGACTCTGAGTAAGTTCTGTTTGTGAATAACTCTGCCTAGAAACAGCCTTTTTCTTTCTACTCTTTTTTTTCTGTTTATTTTGCTTTATCACGGTGTTGTCCACATTTTTTGCTGACAAAATTTGCAAAAAATGTACTTAATTTTTCAGAGAAATCTAGGATCGTGCCCCCAAAAAAGGATTTTTGCTTTCATTTATTTAACTTTTTCTTTAATATGGTAAACTATGGGAATCAAAGTATAATTATTTATATATTTATATTCCTTGTTTTTATATTTATTATTGGTGTCTTTTAGGAATACTGTGAATATATTCAAATCATATAATCAAATCAAATATTTGATGTTTATTTCACATCAGGATGACTCATCAAATCTGTTTCCTTTTTATAAAGGTTTGAAGATGCTGCACTAATTAATTTTTCTATTTCCCCTCTTTAACATTTCTCAGCTCCACTTTGTGATTTTAAAAATCTGTCATCATATATTTTTGAATTTGAATCCTTGCTTTTTGTTCTGTGGCCTCAATGACTTCATTTTGCTCAGTTATTTTCCACTGGCGTCTGAATCTAACGGTTTTCAAATGTCTTTCCGTCTGACTTAGAGCCTACAGAAGTGAAGGACAGTCTTGATGACAGCTGCTGCATTTCTTTATGTGTCCAGAAGGTGTCTGGCACATCAGGGATGAGCTCCGAGGTCATGGTTGGTCCTAGATCACTGGACACCCCGTGACACGTCTGAGGAAGAAAGTAGAGAGAGATTAGTAAGAAGAGTTGGTCCCTTGATGTATGTGGGCAGAGGGTAACGTATGAAAATGAGTCTTTTCTTTCTGCCCACAACACTCTGAACGTAAACTCAACCACCTCTACTACCTACAAACTGTTGGACGAACACAGACACAGGTTCCTCAGATGATCGGTTCAAATGTCAGACTAATTGAACATGATCTGTCTGAATAGTTTAAAAAAAGGATTGTAAATAACATTTTTATACATTTTGTATCTTTTTCATTGGAGATGAAGAAGAAATCACTTGTGATTTTTTTTGTTTGTTTTTTTTAACGGTGGTTTTAATGTAAGCTTGTGAGTGAGGTTGATGCGAGTGTGCGGTGTTGTTTGTCGCTGAGGCAAATATTTCTTCTATGGCCCTGAAAACAAACAAACAAACAAACAAACAAACAAACAGTAAAACCCAAATGATGAAGACAGTCAGAAACTCACCAACTGTGTGTATAGCATCAGGGACCTGGCAGAGGTCAAATATAAAAGGGAAAAATCTCAAAAAAGAGAGTGATTGTAAATAGACGGAAGGATTTTTCTTAGAAGGTTAAAGGAGGGATTCAATGAAATGATTGTCAAGAAAAAGGAGGAAAGTTCAGAGTTGGTTCTTCAGTCGTTGAAGTCACAAGTTTTGCGAATTTGTCATATGAATGTGACCTTGTCATCTGTCCACCTGTGTCTTTATCTCTGTACCTGTTTCCGTCTGAGCCCGACCATGTCCTTCCACTAATGTACTAAGCCATTTCTACGTCCTCAGTGTTCACGGAGAACACCTGGCAGGTGAAGGTAGACGTCCGTCTGCTTCCCTGCTGGAGGCTGATTCATGTAACAAGCGTTAAACTTGAGCTCTGCCTTTTGGTGCACCATGACTCGGCTCGCCTCAGGAGATGTCATGGAAAGTGCCAGATCTCCTGCAGCATCCTGGAGAAGTGTACATATTTATATAGTGGAAGTTCATTTCAGTGCAAATCCAAGCCAAAAGAACAAATGCATGTGACATGCAGGAAATAAAACTGCACCCTATCCGCCAGTATAACGTACAATTCCAAATGCGTCATATAAGCCGCAGCACTGCAGTATGAGGGACAGAACCCTACTGGCTGCTCTATACTCTCACCGATTTCTGCAACAATAACAGAATAAGCCAAACCTGAGTAAGAGCCACAGTTTTATTTCTTTGAAATACAGTAACAACATTCCTACATTGTCTTACAATTAAGGCTTGCACTTCAGATTAATTTATTTATTTATTCATTCATGTATTTATTTATTTATTGTATTTATTTATTCATGTATTTATTTATTTATTGGGTCTTTATGTAATCATTGTTTACATTATTTACTCTTCTACTGGTGCCATTTGAATTCCTTCTGTGGCCTGATGTATAAGCAGTGCATATCAAAGGTTGGCTTCTGTTTAATTAAAGGCAGCATTGACATTGACTCTGGTCAGAGACACACATTAGGATGTTAACCCACGATATCACCCTTTCTCAGAGACGTACAACAGAAAACTTTTTTTTTCTTCTACCATACGTCATGCGACAGTTCACAGTGCAGCAGTGCAGTATCAAGCCGACGGTGTAACACGGCACTGTTTGTCATTAAAGACCAGACCCGAGATGTCCCATCAGGTCTGGTGATGTTTTGTGATGGCTGTCGACGCAAACATAACTGTCAAACCAGTCTGACAGCCTGTCTTCACCGTTCTGGATGAAATAATATCTGGTAGTGTAAATATTTTTCAAATGATAAAATATGGACTGAAGGCAGAATTAGTTTTTACATTTTGACAGATTGGGTTTTTCTGTGGAAGAACGATGAGCAAAGAGCATCATCAAAGGAAATATAAAAGAGGGGAAGTTAATTCCAAAATGTAGTAATTAAAGTACACGATGAGTGTAAAAGATGTATCAAACAAAAGGGTGAAATTTAAGACAGAACAAATTAGGTGATGTCACAGAAGTGACTGAAAAGAAAAAAAACACACGATGACTGTTTTGCTCTGTGACACATGGACCAACTAATGACAGTGTTATTGCCAAAAGATGCTCATGCAGGAGACCACTACCCACAGGTTGAAGGTCTGACGTATTTTGTGAGGGGGAAAGAAATACAACTTTTATTTAAAAAATTTTTTCATCAAACCTCAATTTTCTTCACTTTCCATGACACTCTGTGTGCAGGCGTGTTTAAAAGGTATTTGTGATTTTTTTTTCTTCCGGATGTTTCTTCACATTCAATGTTTGTGGGGCTCTTGTGTTAGGATAACAGAAGGATGTTATTAATATGTGACACACAGAACAGTCTGTTGTGAAGAGAATATTTGCTTTTATGTGCAGTCTCGTGTGACGAGGTCTGGAATCATTTTCATTGGTCAACAGATGTAAATACTGAGCTTGATTAATGACATCAGGAACATGATGAAGTTTGTAATGTATCCTGTCAAAATGGCTGCTGCTTAGAGCTGAATCATGGGTGCAAATAATTAATAAGTCAAATATCGGACCAATCATTTTGCATCTGAAAACTTTCACAGAGCCATGGCTAAATCTTCACAAGCACACAATTAGATAATCCTCTGGTTTTGAGACCAGATCACAGGTTTGGACCAACAGAGACACACAGGTCCAGGAGACCAACTGACTGGGACATTAGGATGAGCTCCTCAAATAAACACCAGAAAGTACCAGAAGAAAGAAACAGAGTGAAAGGTTAACAGAGGGAAGATGTGAAGGAGGCAGAAGGATGAGGTTGTGTGGAATGCCTTGTGTCCACCACCGGGATGGGAATTCTGGCATGGAAACACCTTTTCCTTGTTACTGCAGAAACAAGAAAAATGATGGACATTAAACAATGAGTTATTCCTAAACAGTGTTTGTATTTTGTGTGAATGTGCCGTGTCAGAGTCACATTTATGAGGAAGACTTTCTGTTTGGCATGTTTATTTACTTCTCTCAACTTAGAGGAGGAAAAGTTTCCAGCTGCCTCCTTCACCTTCCCAACAAGAAGTCATGAGAGTAGCAACGAGTTAAGAAAGGATATGATTCATAACTACAAACTTTCAAGGGCAAAAGCATAAAGGAACACGGTGAGATTTTACTTGGTACCAGAGTGTACGGCTGATAATTAATAGAAAGGGTTTTTACTACTTTAGGCAGTGATTCCCAACTATACTAGTGGGCTGTGAAAAATAAATCAATTTTCACTCAATTATGCTCTTCCGCTAGGTGGCAGCAGATGGCTAGACAAACTAAAAGAGAGCGACCAAAGAGCTGTCAAAGAGTGTCTTTCTTCAGTTTCTGTGAGTATGTCAGCAATGTATTCAACTAAACTGACCAGGATTTAATACTGAGTTTTAGGTTCTGAGAAAATTAAGTTTATTATTATATGTCATTACATATACAGTAATTTGTTAGGTGGTGTGCTTTGGGATTGTTCTAATGTAAAAATGTGTGGTGGTTAATAATGGTTGGGTTGCAATAGCTTGCAATAATTTAAGTGCTATGTTTGATAGTAGTACGTTTGATACATTTATTATTTAACGATGATTGTTTTAAAGTGTCTTGAGTCATCATCATTATCTTTACATATATATTTATATGTAAATTATTTTGTGTGATTTTAGTTGTAGGGTCAACATTAAACTTACAATCATTGATTTAACTTAAAACCATCAGGTAGAAAATCAAGACACATTGGAGAGGGAATCACTTTACTATTTCGATCATAAGGAAAAAATCCCGTATCCACCTTTTCTACTCTGCACTACATACATTTTTTGGTATAGTTGATTTTAGAACTTTTTGTAAAAACAGCTCAACCAATATATTTCAAAGCAAAATGACATACATAAAAATATAAAAATATTGACAGTTCCCTAGTTCTGGACATTCAATGAATACACGAGTAAAATAAGCACTGATATAAACAACAGTCCACTCTGTCCAATCAGACGTCTTTCTCTCCTTCGTCTGCACTGCTGGAGGAGGAAGCAGACACATCCTCGCCCAGTCTCTTTAACTTGGCTTTGTAATATGCCTTTTTCATCCTGAAGGCCTTTTGTTTTTGCTGTGCTGCTCTCTTCCTCTCCCTCACCAGCTCCTGCTCACACGCCAGCACCTTCATCCTGTTTTCCCACTCCAGGAGCTTCATCTGGTGCTCCTGCTCCAAAGTGTCTATTTTCTGCTGCTGCTCCAGTCGTGCCAGGTCTATGGAGTCATTTTGGAGCAAACGTGGGCCTCCAGCCTCGACTGTCGCACTGACCGGCGACTGCAGACGTTGAGCGATGAGCCTTGAGGTGCCTGAAGGTCAGAGTTCAGAGTCAGTGAGAAGATGTCATGTAAAAATTCAGAATGTTGTCAATATAAGGACAAAACTATAAATGCCACTAAAATTCTTTGATGGTTGAGTGATTTAATAAGTATTCCATAAAACGCCGGAAAACAGAAAAAAAAATTAAGATGTTAGCAAAGGTTTTATATTAAAAAAAAAAAAATTTTACTCATAGTAGGCAAATATTCAAAAAATCTAAAACATATATAAAATATCTGAAGTTTAATTTTAAGGATTCCTCTATTAACCATTCATAAATAAACTGCATTACTCTTCCATTATTTCTGAATACCTGGCGCAGTGTAGTAGACAGATGGAATCCCTAATTCCTGTAGCTCTGCATTATGGGATACAGACGTTGTAGAAGGGCTGTGGAGCACATTTGACCAGTCACCGCCTGTTATTCTATCTAGAGCTTCACGCTGGAAGCTGATGCCCACTTGCTCCTGGTTCTCTTCATTCTGAGAAAAACAGTACAATTTGATTTAATGATGCTAAAACACATTTCTAATACTTTTACTACAGCCTGCTTCAGTTTAGTTTATTTGCTCTGATAGTTTTGTTTGTGTCAGAACAGTATTTACCTGATCGATGGTGCCATTTATCTGCCCTTCAACTTTAAAAAAATTGCCTGAAAAGAGAAAAGAACACAGACAGGGAGTGACCACAAATTGTCGTTGAGTCTGCAATATGTGCATACAGCGCCTCTCTCTGGTGGTCTTGAGTACAGCACTTACAAAAATAATACAATACACGCAACTTAAGGCTGCAAAGGACGTGTTTAACTGATGCATGGGTATTGCCAAATAAAATCCGAACAGATGGAAATGATAATATTTCACCTTTTGAACGAATTAATAAATAATGGATCTCTGTTGGGGTTAAATTCACACGTAGCTTTACTCTGACAATGTAATTGTGAGGCTTGATCTGGGGGAATGTATTTTCTGATCTAGAATGCTGACTACTCACCCAATGATTTTTTTTTACGTAATTAAAGTTTTTTTAATCATCCAACCAATTTTGCAGACATTAAGCAGCATTTGGAATAAAAACAGACATTCATGGATATAGATTAGTATTTCCATTTAATTCTGCTTTTGGAATGTTGGGGGGGGGTGTATGCATGATTGAGTAACATCTACAGTATAAACCACAACAGCTCGGTTTTATTTGCCAGCCAGTGCAGTGTTAACTACATGTGCTATATTCGTGTTGATAACAGTGTAATACCACATAAACTACAATGAAAATAAACTAACGGCCACATCACCTTAACTGCCACATAATACTCACACACCTAACAAAGACATGCATCGTTAGATGAAGCCTCGTCACCACCAGATAAACAACACACGTCCTTTGAAAGATTAGCTACCTTCCGTTAGCTTTCGCACGGCAGCTTTATGACCAGCTCCTCCTGCGTGGCTTGTGAGCGCAGCCTCGCCCATGGTCTGGAGTTTGATGGACCTGCAACAGGCTCTACATCTGGCGAAGTGAATATCTTGCACATCTTTCATCAGCCAGTCCTTATATATTGCCTTAGTGAGCCAGGCGTCCTGGAATTTACATTTACCAGGCATCGCTAGCTCTGGCGTTAGCTGGACGGCTAACTCACCGCCACTCTTTTCCTTTGCCTGTGGTGCGTTCAATTACATTGTAAATCTACCTTTCTCAACACATGATGCTGCACACAAAAACGTTTTTTCCTGTAAAATCAAGGGGATGAAGTGCAACTTCTAAATCTACAAAAAAAAAAACAACCATGCTGTCACATTTTAATAAACCATTTAAAAATAACCAACCGTTTTAATGTTAAATAGTCCAACAAAAGATTATTTTAAAAATGAACACCAGCAACAACCTATATTGTGCACTATACATTATCTGTGGGATATAAGTAACATATTGGTGTACTTTAAAAAAAAAGAAATATAGTATTGCTTTATCACAATGTTTAGGCTAAATATATTTTATGTCATGATAAGACACACAACACAACCCAAACACTACATTAAAAGAAAGTATGAACATCTTGTGAACATATTCAAAAATACAAAAGTAGGGTTTATTATTTTTTTCACTAATGTGATTTCACGCTATTGTTAGCTACTGTATAGTTCTGCATAAGTATTAATATGTACTTACCTTTTTCAGCTTCAACGCCCTCGCTGCAATCAATGGTCTTGCCGCTTTTTGGCACTTGTCACATTCTAAGATCTTGAAAATATATAAACAACATTAATAATTTGTGTTAACCTGACTGAAAAGCATAGTCAGTTAAAAAAAAAAAAAAAAACGTACCCATTTTTTTACGTCACTATACATCCCATTCCAGTAAAACCTGGTAGAGATTGCTGCCCAGGTTTTCAGGATGCCAGTGTGATCTCCCATGGGTGCTAAATGAAACTCTGTGAAGAGTCTCCTGGCATCCTCCCTGGTTTTCACAGCCTTCCGCTTCCAATCCAGAGATATCTGTTAAGGATACATTACTTTAATAATGCTTTATCACCACGTACAGTATTCTAAATAACATGCATCATAGACTTGTGATACTAACCGCTTACTCTGAATTTAGAGGCATATCTCCTGAGGTTTTGCCTCTGACTTTTCCCATATTCCGAGGGATATGTGCCTTCAGACAAGAGAGCATGCACCTCATTCCATTTACTTTCCATTTCTGTAAAGTAAGGTTAAAATCTTTATGTGCATTGCTATATAACTTTCAGCCCGAATTCATCCAAAGTAATATATTTTAGAATGAATGATCAACAGTGGCTTTTTCTATTAAATTAAGTATTTCTCTCAGAGAAAAAGGCAAATCTGATATATTTTCACACAAGATTCATAATATTGTAATAAAATTATGTCAATTTGCCTTTTTAGCTGTTAGACATTGGAATTGTATACACAATTTAGGATGCTACATGAGCCAGTTTAATGACGACGCCTATTATAATAGTATATATAATAGTGTTAGCTATTCAAACTGCATGTAGACACAATTTCATGTACGTGGCAAGTTGAAATTATTTGACTGACCTATGCATTTGTCTGTGTAGGTTCTCAGTCATCCAGGTCATTTAATCCAAAAAGCCACCAAAAACAACCAGAAGAACAATCCCCCTCCCTGACAACAAGACCACTGTTTTCATTTCAAAGGACACCCAGCCAAAAGTGTCGCTCAGGTTAAACTATTAGTCCATAGCTATGGTACCACTTTCCATTCACACCTCTAACCTTGTTACTTTACATTACATTCTCCTTAGAATAAGGTGTGTTTCACCACACCTCCATCCACCCTTTCTGTAACGACCCTCGTTACGGATATGCAGCCCCCTTTGAGGCTAAATAACAGTAGTCAGTCAGAACAGAAGAAGCCTCTTGGATGAGAGGTAAAACGTCTTTAAAAAACCCCTACCGTCCAGTTGCCCTCGATTTAACTATTTTTGGAAACCTATGCATTGAATACTAGTCATTTAAAGGATTAGAAATACAAGAAACTCACCTCTTATAACGGCTAGGAGCAGAAAGCAATGTCCGTCTGCATTCGCCGATGTACGCACGCGCAGTTAAATCGGGTAGGAGGTTTCCGTCGGTAGGATACAACTTCACAACACCGGTCACGTGCTCTGTCTTCACCAATCCAATATTTTTTCCAACCAATCAGCAACAACGATACCGGTACTGTGACGCGATTGGTGGAAACTAAACACGGAAACTGGAACAGAAACACATGTAGACTGTGGTGCTTATTGCAAGAAATAACATATTTAAAGAACTATATATAATTTTTACGCTATCAAGCATTTTTTCTAAGTCAGCTGGTGCAACGATAGGAAATCAGCTTAGGTAAAATAGGTGTTTGTTGCTCTGGCTAGAAATAATGTGTTCTGCAGTCGCTACACGCTGCTAACTAAAGGGGGACACATCAAAACTGTATATGTTATTCACCTTTTTTTGTCCTCTGTTCGTCAAAAGTTTGTAACACATTTGTGTTAAAATCCCATGATATAAAAGTGAAAACAACGACTTCTTGATGAAGATGGAGACACTAGCTCTGGTTGCGCCGGTCACTGCTCTGAAGTTCATTCATGATACAATTCTACTGACAGGTAACTTTGAAAACATTGCACGGATCGTTTGCGTCTAGTGTCTGTTTATTTATTTATTTACATACTTGTTAAAATTGTATTTTTAATCATTGTGTATGTGGACTATGTGATATAGTCAAAATGTCACTAGTTGGGTAGTATAATTTTTTGTGTGGTTACGGACTACTTTGCATAGAACTTCAACCAACTCTTATTTCCGATTCATATGACACGTATACTAATTGTAATTAATTATTTTGGTCAAGTAATCTCATTGGAAGTAAACCAATGCCAACAAAATGCAAAATAAGACCAACAAAAAACAAGGTGTTGCATTTACAGATTTACTTTACATTTAATAATTGTATTAAAGACTGAAGCTCAAAGCATATTTAGACATTTCCTGTACAGACAATGCTTTAACATCGACAGGCTTTATTAACTTGTCATATTTAAACCATAAAAATAATAGTATTTTAGATTTGTCCAAAAATGTAATGTGTGCTCCCTTATCTTTGCAGGTGAGGGTCCAATATTGACTGCTTACAGTCTCAGACCTCGTCCCAAAGCTGCTGCTTCTCTCAGTGTCCTCCGTCACTGCAGAATCCATGAAATAAGACACAGATGTCACACCTCGGAAAACGAGTTTGATGATGGTACAGTCATATGATGTTGTGGATTTTGAATGATTGTTTGCTGTTATGTTTTTTTATTGACTGCCAGATTTTAATGCTGTAAGAGTTAAAAAAGTTCTGTCATGGCAACTGGACGTGAATTTTCTAAAAGAAGACGTTTCACCTCTCATCCAAGAGGCTTCTTCAGTTCTAACTGGTGGTGGGGAGTACAGCAGATATATACTCTGGGTGTGAAAGAATAAAGCTACTTCAGGTCCACCCTGTTGGGTGTGTAAACAGTTGGTAAGAGTCTGATGGGTCGTTGTGGTCCTCATCAGAACGGTTTTGGTCACCTGCCTCTTTGTTATGTGAAACTGAGGTGAATCTTTTGGGTATTGTTGCTAAAAGTGCTTTGACACAGACACAACCTATCACCCACATACAAAGCACTTTTGGATGAGAGGTGAAACGTCACACCCAGTTGCCTAACAGAACTTTCAAACTTGACCATGACCTGGATGACTGAGAACCTTCATAGACACCATGCTGTAAGAGTTACCACTCAACTGTTTGTAGAGTTGTTCTTTTTGTATGTATTCAGTGTCTCACTGTATTTTTTTCCATAATCCACAGGATTGAGTTTGACCAGTGAATCCAATGTCAATGATGTAGCAGTGTTTGGAGGCAAAGCCTTGAGGCTGGTTAGACTCCATGTAGATCTCCAGGGTGGAGATAACTTACGTTTGGAAATTTTGAGTCCTCTTATTGAGTTACAAGACTGGATCCTGGATGTTCACTGGCTTTCTAAAGACAAAGGCTCACCTCTGTGTGTGGCCCTAGCCCACAATAATGCTCTCCTTTTGGATGTTAAAACAGGAACTCAACTGTTTCAACGTTGTTGTCTGGACGGCTGCCTGCTGTACTCTGCCCTTCTTCTGGTCCAAGAAAACTGGGCTGACGCTGTCTTAGTCGGAGGAACTGTTTTCAACCAGCTGATTCTTTGGAGACCTGGAAGTGGAGGAGCAGAGAGTCATGAAAGTAAAGCTCCAGTTGAGAGGCGTCTGCTGGGCCACAGTGGTGTCATCTTCAACATTTCATATCTCCGGGAGAAAGGATTGTTGGCCTCGGCCTCTGATGATCGCAGTGTGAGGGTGTGGGCTGTTGGTGTTCTCGGGGTCCCTGGTGGGCAATGTGGAGATTTGAACCCGTCCTGTTTAAGTGTCCTGTATGGACACCACGCTCGGGTGTTCTCGGTGTGTCTCTCCTCAGAGGGACTGTTCAGTGCAGGCGAAGACGGGACCTGTTTAGTCTGGGACTGGGCCAAAGGGGGGAAAGTGGTTCGGACTTTGAAGGGACACCGAGCTGGAGGGGTGCGAGCCTTGGCAGTTAGTAAAGGAACAGGTCATGAAGGAATGTGGGTAGCTACCGGGGGGGCAGATGGAGGGGTTAGACTGTGGAGGCTGAAGAAGAATGAGAAGAATGAGAACACAGAAGAAGAGCTGAATCAGAAACTTATTGATTTAAAGTTCCCTGATCACAGTGCACCTAAAGCAGTCTGTATAACTGGGGAAAACGAAGAGAATACAGACTGGAGCCAGTGTAATGTTGTGGTTTGCACTGAATTAGGAAAAGTCCACTGTTACAGCAAAGGACAGTGGGACATTTTATGGGAAGGCTCTGCTGACTTTAAGTCCTACTGTGTGATGGAAACTGTATCTGTCAAAGTGAACGACTCCACAGAGAATGTTCATCTATGTGCTGTAGGAAATCTAAAGGGTTCCATTCACGTTTTTCCAATATCTCATCCTCAATCTGGAATTCTTCTCTCAAGAGGTTCAGGGAAGATCCATAGTCTTATTTGGCAAGAAGGAAAAGATGGTGTGTGTTTATTAGTATCTGGCTCTGAAGGTCTAGTCTATCGCTGGTGTATTAATGCAAAAATGACGGAAAATCATTATTTTACTTTTATTGTTACTCCACTTCCTGCTTTTGTGCTTCCCACTTGTGCCAAATGCTGGCTGTTGGCTGCTATCTGTCTGTCTTCCAGACCAGATGATGATCTTTGGGTTTGTGGGGACAGAAGAGGATCCTTGATTTTGTTTCAGGAATCCTGGAAAGCGGAGGGACATAGTGCTTTGTCAGAAGAACACGGGACAGAACAAACGCAGGACGAGGAAACAGACAACGATACAGGTGAAGAAAGTAGCATCAAATGGCACATAAAGGACAGTAAAATACACAACGTCAAGATTCAGCCTGCGAGTGTCCTGTTTGGTGTTCATGGTAAACAGGGTGTGACGTCAGTGTGTGAATACAAGGGACTTCTCTACAGCACCGGCAGAGACGGCTGTGTTAGAATTTTTAGAGTGCAGCAGGCAGCATCACCAAAAAAAGTTGAACGATGCAGCGGAGAGACTGTTGAGAACGCAGGGCAGCTTCAGTTGGAGGTCCTGCGAGTTCAGCGGGCCTGTAAAGGAATGGAGTGGCTGGAGAGGGTTTTGATTCTTGAACCTGGATTTCTGGGAGTTGAGGAGGAAACAGACGAGTGGGAGAACTTTTCCGAAATGGCGCTTGAAAGTAAGGTACAGGAAGTGAGGTTTGTCATCGCCGGCTTCCATGGAGTCCATTTTGTGGTTTGGGACCCGGTGAGGCAGGAGAGGCTGTTAGCTGTGCCGTGTGGTGGTGGGCATCGTTCCTGGAGTCTGTGGCCTTCAGACAAAAGGATTTGGCCTGGATATGGAGCAGTGATCTTCATCAAACATGGTGCTGTTCTGGCTTCACAGTCTCCTGGGAAGGAGCAGGCCTTGGCCGCTGGATCTGGAGGCACCGCAGGGTGGAGCCTGAGAGAGGGCATTCACGGGAGGGGGATTGGGTGTGTGTGCAGGCTAGGCAGGATCATTGACCCTCAGATGAAGAACACTGAGAGACCGCTGGGACACTGGGAGGTGGCAGTGACAGGAGGAGAGGACACAAGTCTTACTGTCATAGCAGTACATCCTGAATCAGGCAGAGTCAGAGTCCTCTCAGTTATTACAGACCACATCTCCAGTGTGAGGACAGTGGCGGCAATAACACGGGAAGAGCCAGGCTCTCTCTCCACCTTGGTCTTCTCTGCCGGGGGCCGTGCTCAAATGCAGTGCTATCGCCTGTTGATTGGCTGGGACGGGCAGAGGTCAGCGCCATCCTGCCAGGTGATCCAGATCGCCAGGCACCGCTTGGACGAACAGTGGGAAAGGAGAAGGAACCGACACAGGACAGTCAAAATGGACCCGGAGACGAGGCAAGTCCACCCACCGATACTGTTCACTTAACGTTGTCTGTTTTTTTGCGTCTTCACTCTCACCTGTTGTCTCTCTCTGTCTCAGGTACATGTCTATAGCAGTGGTGGATGAAGAAGCAGACTGTGTTCTTCTGGCGTTGGCCTGCAGTGATGGAGCTGTCAGGTATACAAATCATTAGTTTCATAAGTTTCCTTCTTTCGGGATTTAATAATATGTCATAATCCCAGGTTCTCACCTTACCACTGTTGGGTTTTTTTTTTCAGATTGTTTTCTCTAAGTGAAGTTAAAAATCAGTTTGATTTGGTGTGTGAAATCTTTTACCACCAGCGCTGTGTGCTCAGCGTTGCCACCTGCAGCCTGGAGGATGGAAATGGCAGCAGGTCTGAGAAAAACCTTTATCCTGTCGTTGTCTTTCATCTGTGTAAACCATGGATATTGTGGAATAAATGTTTTAATGTTTTGTATATACAGTAAATGACATTCTATTGTCCACCCAGGTATAAGCTACTGTTCAGCGCTGCCACAGATGGGAAAGTCGCAGTTTGGAATTTGACTGAAGTTTCTTCCTCATCTGATTCTTCAAGCAACATTTCCTTTGCTCAAATTCCCTGCTTAGAATTCAGTGCCCACCAGAGTGGCATCAACTCATTAGCTGTGTGGAGGGAGAGCCAGGAACAAACAGAGAGTGGCTTTCTGATCACTGTTGCTAGCGGAGGTGATGATGGGCAGCTGACAGTGTCCAGGATCACAGTACTGCACCCAAAAGACCAGAACACAGGGGGCAGCAAAGAGCTTTCTCAGACATCAGAGGCAACAGTTTCTCAGCTCCACCTTCACTCTTCTCTTCACATCCCACTGGCTCACGCTGCTTCTCTGACTGATCTGAAACTTCTCACCGCAGGCCTCCTGGTCTCTACGTCTTCAGATCAGAGGGTTTGTCTGTGGACGGTCCACAGTACCGGTATCAGCCACAAAAAGACACTCTGCTCCCACGTGGCAGATGCAGCAGGACTTTCAGTCTGGGAGGAGGAGACGGTTGAAAAGAAATGGGATGAAAAGGAGAACCAAAGATCTGAAAGTCAGCCAGAGATTATAGTCAGGAAAGGGAAGGGGCTTCGGGGAGAACCAGATGGAGCGGGAGCCGAGACAGGTGACCCAGTTTTTAGGACAAGGGATGAAAATGAAAGTGAGACAACAAAGAGTGAGGAAAAAGGAGAAAGTGTAGTGAAGACGGAAGAGAATGAGATCAAATGTTGCCGGGGAGAGAAGACAGGATGGCTGCTGGTCTGTGGTCAGGGCTTCCAGCTGATGAGAGTCGGAAACACAGATGTGTGTCTGAACTGTCTGTGATATCTGAAGTGATGCACAAAGTTGAGTTCTACTGCATGGTTATAGTTGACATGTCAACTGTGTGACAAGAAATAGTTTTATAATTTAAAAAGAGCCTTGACTTTAATGAGAATATTCCAAAGAATGACCTTAAACCAATCACAGCCTTGTACACAAACCATTCTTTTTTTCAAATCAAGAGTGTGAATATGAAGACGTTTTGGGGGTTTTGAGCAAAATAAGATCTGACATATAGTAAGCTTGATTTTTCTGGTGGTCCAGTTTTGACTGGTCCATAAATCACAACTGCCATTTTTATTTGAAATATATGCTTTTCAGGTCATTTTGTTGCAATGACTCTTCACTTGGTAAATACAGTGTGTGTGTATATATGTATATGCATATATATACATGTGTGTATATATGTATGTATGTATATGTGTATATATGTATATGTGTATGTGTGTATATATATATATACACATATATACATATATTCAATATAGCTGTAATATAAATTGACTGTCTGCTCAGTCATTTATATGTGTTGAGCTTTTGTCGTCTGTAAATGTGTGTGGGAGTGTTAGCAGCATGTTCATCTGGGACACATTATATTTCTCCTGCTGCTGTGGGATCCTTCACTTCCATCTTCTGTCTATATATATATATAAAGTATTCAGGTTGTGTGTGAGCGTTTGTGGAGGTCTCTGTCCAGTGAGGGCCGACTGCAGGCATCCATTAATATTTCAATATTTCAGCCATGTCTCATGTTGCCTTTTGTGTAGTGCCCGTCTGACAACCTGCCACGGTTGGCTGAGAGAAAAGTGAAAGATATGTGAAAACTGAACTGGAAAGAGGGGAAAGTTGGCCCTGAGATGTGGAAGGGTTTACTACCCTCAAAGGTAAAATAACCGTTAGTGCTTTTCCATTTATTGAAAGAAATTAACCACTATGGCCATTTACAGGTGGAACGAAGGGGCAAAAGGACAAGGGAGGACAAGGGAGGAGTGAAAGTGAAAGCCTCAGAGCTGAGGTCGGTCTAAAGAAGAGGGAAGGGGAGGCAGAACTTGAGACGGGGCCAGCTTGGCTCAGTGTCAGCTGATTAAAGAAAAAGCAGAGAAGATGGAGGGGGAAAATGGAAAGTGAGAAATGACAGGACTGGTTAATTGATGAAGGACTCAAACTGGAGGAAGGAATAAAAGAGCAGCAGGAGTAACACACCTCAAAAAGGTACAAATGCCAACTTATATACCTCTTTATTTCTATTTTTGGGCATTATCTGGTGGGTCACACTTTGCACTGATGTTGTGAACTTTTTCTTAAGAGCAGCTGTTAAAAATATATCCTTAAATAACAGGAAGATGTTCAAAAACAGGTCCTGAGGCAAATGATGGAACTCAAGCTCAAATTTACTTGTGAGCTTTTATGTTGCCGCTTCACTTTTGGCTTCGGGCTGGTCTGGTAATCCGAGTCAGTTTCATAAAAAAGTTTGTTTATTTTGTAGCACTTTTTAAATATATTTTCCACTTTGTCTTTTAACACATTTTGCAAATGTTCTGTGTTACTTTTTGATATTAGCCACTTTGGCTATCTCCCGGGCTAGCTTTATTTATCAAAAAATACAAATCAGTTAAGGATGTTTTAAGGCAGTCTTTAGCTTTTTTTGTTGTTGTATTACTGCTATTTTGCTAGAATATTCAAATTCCCACTGTTGCCTTTTATTTTGACTAATTTTCCAGGTTATTTGAATCATTTAGGTTTTTTTATATTTTGTTAATAGTTTGAAAGATAGTTGGCTGTTTTCCATTTATCTGCTACCAGCCTCTTTTTATTTTAGTTTTTTTCTCCATTGAAGTTTTTTTTTTCCATAACTTGTTTTTATGCCAAATGAGTCACAATGTAGTGCTGAAGAAATTAAACAACCCAAACAGATGCCTTGTTGTATATAAGTTGTCCAAGTCAATAATGCTGTACAAAATTAATTATTTGTAATTAATTTGTCTGCAATAAATTTGTTAAATAATAAATGAATGAAGATGCTGCAGTACATTATGCAGTCCAGGAAACACAGCTTCACACATTTAAGATTTATTTTTCTAAATGTCATTTTTGAATCTTTCAGCCTTTTAGGTCAGATATGTCACGTGACCGACTGCCTCTTATTGGATCATCTAGCTGCAAACCAACAGGTGAGCGACTATAATCAATTCTTTTAGCAGAGATTTGGGGGTTTTTTTTACATATTTTTTCAAGCAGCAGACAAAATACCAACACATTTTTAAACAAACATGTACTGTATATTTGAATGCAACATCTTCATTTGATATTGTATTATTCTAGCCCATCAGGGTAAACGCGGGAAAGGCAACCAGCAGCAGACACCGTCTGCTTCCTGCTCACATCCAGGACGTCGTTCTGTCCTTCTGGCAGACACCACCATGACACCCTGGGGGGGCTTATCACTCTCTGAGACCTCCTTTACTTTGATTCCTTCACCACATCAACGCCCTCCTCCACCAACACCAGTTCGTCTCCCTCCTGCTCCCCAGCTGACTCCAGCCAACTCTTACCAACAACAACAGAATGAAGAAGAACTGTCAAGTTCAAACATGAGCTCAGAAATCTCATCTCCACCACCAACGTTGTCTCCCGGCGCTGAAGGTATGACGTAACCAGGGCGTGTCCCGTTTAATCAGCCAATCACCTGTTGATCAGAGAACAGTCAACAGAGGATTTCTGGAATATACTCTGTGACCTTTCCTGAGCTAGCAACAGAGAAAATGCATATCAAATTTGAATGTGATTGATTGTCAGCTTACCTGAATGCCAAAGTAATCAACACATAACACATTGCCTTCCATTTGTAGACGTGTTTATGACCACCGCCCTCCAGAAGAACAGACTACGTCTGATTTGATTTATGACTAAAGACTATGTAGAAGAAACGGACGTAGCTACAGTAGCTGATGGCTGCCTTCTGACAACGATGACAATGTGTTCTGGAAGTTCTTTAATATTATCTAATATTGTCTTTTATTTTTATTTTTTTATATTATTTAGAGGAAAAGAAAGGACAAAAAGGCACATTGTAAACATTTAATGGAAGTCTGGTTGAACCACAAAATGTAATCTGTTTTATTGATCTTATAAACATCAGGCTGAGATGAATTTTGAACAGTTACACCCCTCTAGTTTCTCCCCACGTCATGACTTTCTTTCTCTTTGTCTCCTCGCAGTATGCAGAGATCCAGGGCTCCATGGGAGGCAGAGGGCGTTGCCTCAACATCGAGGTCCCCGTCCTCCGCGTCTCCCACCACTGCGTCAAGTCACCAATCTTAGCTTCTCACGTAGCTTCACTTTCTCTTTTTTTGAGCTGCCACTCCACCAGTCGCCACGCTGCCGAGCGGAACGCACCAAAAACGTAATGCTGCTTTTGAGACAAATCCATTATTAAAGGACAACAGCAGATGTCAAAGTATAATCTCAGCCGGTCCGTTAAAAACAAAACAAACAAAAAATTCAAAGTTAAGACAAGAAAGACATCAGGAATTTGAATTCTCATCACAAAAAGATGACAGGGTGAAACGCATAGGCTCAAGAGAACGATGATTTATTTGTTGTGTTTGATCCTAGGGATGTGCCTTTAACAATCCACCTTTTCAGGGACCGCGTTAAAACTGTTCTAGAACCATGGCGTGCAGGGTGAGATGAAGCTCCGATGGTAATCTTAAAGATTTAAAGACCAGTTTGTGTCTTTCAAAAAAAAGTACAGAAGAATCGTATCTATGTATGTCTTTAACTTGGTATATTTTATATTATTTTACCCTGACATGTAAAGTAAAATTTAATTTGACCTTTGACACCAGCATTGACCTTTGACACCAACATTGAACTTTGTTTAAAAAAAAAAAATCTTACAAAACTCTTATTCGGGTTGAACAAAAAGAATAAAATTACAGATCAGTTCCATTTCAGTTAGAGAGCAGACATTTTAAATAATTTAACTCCACTTACCCTGCACCTGCAGTACTGCCTCACCTCCTAAGGGTGGCCCAATGCTGATTTAGGAAACCCTTCTGCAATAGTAAAAGTAGTGTGTCAGGGAAATCATCAGCTGTGCCATGAAAAATGAGTTTTGTGTTTCTCTTTCATTCCTACAGGTATATCACCCTGTGTTCAACTAAACAGGGACAGGTTGAATACTGTGTTATATGCAAGTAAATTGAAACTAGAAAATCATTCTATCTGATTACATAAATGTTTGTGACATTTTGTTCTGTGTGGTGTCTAACATAACGCTAAATATGTGCCATGGTTTTAAAAAGGTTGGAAAGCACTGGTTTACGATGGTGGGATCCTTGTTTTCATGAAAATGTTTCACACGAGATGACTAAGACCTGCATTGAAGATACAGAGCTTCAGGCCTGTGTACATAAACGTTTTATACGTATTTGTCACTTTTAATCTCCTCCAACCTGATCTGTTTCCATTTTGCAGCATTTAGCAGTAAAATTATTGGTGTAACGAGTAAATGAGTCGTTTATTTGTCTAATATTTAGACTTAGCGAGGATTTAGATTGTGTATTTGTTTACTGTCTTATAATGAAAAAAATATTAGAACAGCAGTGGCTTCCATAGATAATGAACTATGGAAATTAAAAAATGGTCGACCTGTAGAGCACCAAATGTCATTGTGGCTTTAATGAACTTTAATAAAAAACACCAGACTTTGTGTGTGTTTGCACCATTTAAATATCCAGTGTATAAAACAGAGGGCGTAGTATTATACTGGAACAACTACATCACTAATTTGACACGTGTAAAACTACCCAAAGGGTTTAGTTGAAATTAAAGCAACATTAAGTGAACCCACAGCACCCAGTGTGACTGATCTAGTCAAAGAAAACACAGAGAAACAGAGCTCATGTGTCACCGTCTCACCTGCTCATCATCATCTCGCTCGGCAAACAGAGCTTATATTTAAAGAGGAATCAGCCATTGGACGGGTTAGTGTGTTGTCAACCCATGTTATCTGATCTCTTACTATATTACAGCAAAGACACAAATGAAAGTTGGACCTTCGTACAGGTATGAATGAGCCGTGAGTCTTGATGTTTTTCACAACTATTTTTTTTTCATTTCTGTCTTTATTTTCAAACACTGTCCTCTTGGCTTCCTTATGTTTTTCCATTACGATAAAATGGCGTGCTGGGGTTGAATGTGTCTCCACCCATCGTTGCCATCCAAGCATGAATGAGAACGAAGCATTTAAAAAAAACATTTAAAAAAAAAACAATTCTTAAAGGCTCATGCTACGTGGTAGTTGTGATTTTGAGTGTGAAAAATTATATTTTATTCTTGTAAAATTTACCAAGAACTTTTAACTTTTATGTTAATTTTACACAGCAATAGGTATTTTCAAATGTTATAGTGTCAGTTGAGGTCTTTATACAAGGAGGCCACAAAGGTCAACCTTCATCGACTACCTCGTAGCACTGAAAAATGATGTATAAAATAAAAGAAAACAGTTTTCAAAGTTATCACATTGTTTTTTTTTTTAGAAATCTGATTATGTAATTTCATAAAATTAGGGATTTTTTTGAGCAAATAAAAAGCTGAGCTGCTGTACCACATTTATACTGTCTATATCTCATCCATCTTATTTTTTTTTGCCTTCTTTCTTTGCAGTAAAACAACCCTCTGTTAATGATGGCGATAAGAGGGATGGACTACGTAATCCACAGGAGGATCCTGGATGAAGAAACTGTGGATGAGATTGGAGCCAAGTTTGAATCAAACATTCCTCTTTCTGAAAAGGTCAAACGGGCATTAAGGTGAGTTTGGTATTTGGTTAATAGAAGAATATTGACCTAATATGTTATTAATAACTTTGAAATGATGCAAGTTAAATCTGAAATATATATGTGTTTATCCATCTGTCCCCCCAATATACACTATATATTATACTTTATCATACTTGATATTATGGATAACACTGCTGTAATTCATTCCATTTTCCCAGTGTTAAAACACTATTGTTTTCATTGTTTTTAACACAATGCTGTTCTGTTTTATACTATGTTAACATTTACTGTACTGTACTGTACTGTACTGCACTGCACTGTACTGTACTGTACTGTATTGTACCGTACTATTACTGTCCATTTCCCTAGTGTAGGATCAATAAGATTATATATAATTTAATCCAATTTTACTTTATTTAATCTAATCTAATCTACAACAGTGGTTTTCAAACTTTTTATACTCAACACTGAGCTCTCTGAGTACCACCATGATGACCAACATCAGCAGCATAGGCCTTCACTGTTAGCTCCACCACACAGGAGCAATGTTTATATATATGTTTATGTTTATAAAGATGTTTATATTTAAATGTTGTATTAATTGTGCATGGTATGTTTCAGATTTATTCAACTGAAAATGTAAATGTGAAAATATGAATTTTCACCACATACCACTAGAGAGCGCTCGCTTACCGTACAGTTTGAGAACCACTGATCTGTAGTAAACACAAACCGAGTGTCTGACTCAGAGACTCAGTCTCTCTGCAAACAGAGAGACTAGAAAGAGAATCTTTCACAAACTGATATTTGCCTAAAATATGTTTTTCATTCCTTCTCTTTCAGTCCGACCCAGTACCTCAGGTGTTCTGTTCCACGATTGAAGAAATGTCTGCTGCAAAGGTTTCCCCTTATAAAATGGCTGCCTCATTACCCCATCAGAGAGACCGCCATTGGAGATCTGATCTCTGGCATCAATGGGGGGATCATGCAGATACCCCTGAGTGAGGATGGATGTACTGTACAGCAGGAGTACAAACGAGTACAACAGAGAGCGTGGGTGTTATTTGAAGTATTGTTTGTCTTGTCTGTTCTTTCTCTCCACAGGTATAGCCTATGCTATGATTGCTGCGGTTCCTCCAGTCTTTGGCCTTTATGCTGCCTTCTACCCAATGCTCGTCTACTTCATCTTCGGCACATCACACCACCTCATCATAGGTTTGTAATTTACCAAATATCTGCGTCTGAACATATGAGATCTGAACTGTCTTGAGCCTTGATCATCACAATAATGCAAAGACATGTTTTTTCTTTCTGTATATATATATAGATTTTTTTATACATATATATCTATATACATATATATTTACATGTGTCTGAATCATAATCATGTATGAAACATTAGTGAATATCATGTGTTGTTTTCCATTTCGTCCAGGTGGTTACACGGTGCTGGCGCTGATGATGCGAGGACTGGGAGATCGGTTGGCCCCAGACTCTGACTTCATGATCTGGGACAATGAGACCAACTCCAGTGTAGTTGACACCGTTTCCCAAGATGCAAAGAGAGTCCAAGTGGTTGTAGCTGTCACACTGCTGTCTGGATTATTCCAGGTAAACCAAACGTCCAAGGAGGAATGATCACATTCAAAATGACTGAGTTCTTAGCTGTGGTTCAGTCACTGCGCTGTGGCTCTGCAGATTCTGCTGGGCCTGGTCCAGTTTGGTGTCATGGTGACCTACCTGTCTGAACCCCTGGTCAGAGGTTACACCACAGGAGCCACCTTCCACATTTTTATGTCCCAGTTTGGAAATATCTTTGGAGTAACGTATGTGAGACACAATGGTCCACTGATGTTGCCAAAAGTGAGTAAGAACACGACTACAAATACAAATACAAAAGAAAATACAAATTCATGGGTTGAATTAAAGGATTGACAATTTAAATTTAAGGCGTAGTTCCACAGTCAGGTGACTTTGCACTTTTTCTTCAGATACTTTGAAAGAGTAAAGAAGTGTTATTAAACAATGATTTTAATGATACATTTTTTTGTTTTTCTGTGAATAGAATTGCAATTAACCATGGCAAAAAACTTTTTTTTCTTTTTTTAATTTAACAAAAAAAAAGAGCCAAGGCTGATATAACACAATTTTAATTTATTTGCTATAAAATTTGTTACAATGAAACTGTTAAAGCAGTATTGTTACCTTTGTTTGTTTATCTTTGTTCCTTCCTTCCTCTCTTTCTGTCTTGCCTTCTTTCTTCCTTCCATTGTTTTTTTTCTTTCTTTCTTTCCAGAATTTCATCGAATTCCTCTTTGTCCTTCACGTCACACACATTCCCACTCTTGTAGTGTTTGTCGTTGCCATGGTCGGCCTGGTCGTGGCCAAGAGGGTCAGTGAATTTCTGAGTAAGAAACTTCCTGTTCCTGTACCTGTGGAGCTGCTCGCTGTGAGGGTTCAGTAATTCTCTATTAACATGAACATGAACCAATTAACAGTCATGAAGTTGTACAGTAAAACACACGTGTGTGTGTGTGTGTGTTAATGGTCACCGCCTCAGGTCATTATTTCTACACTGGTCTCCTGGAAACTGAACCTAAATGAAAGCTATAAAATCGCGGTGGTGGGGAACATCCCCTCAGGGTGAGGAACACTCAGAAGACCTGTTGTTTTTGTTTAATTTTTCTTTTAAATATAGCATCATTTTTCAAAATGTGTCTCAGTCTACAGCCACCTTCTCTCCCACCCACCTCACTTATCGGTGAGGTGATCGGTGACGCCTTTGCTATGGCTGTGGTGGGCTACGGAATGGCCATTTCCCTGGGACAAGTTTTTGCCCTGAAACATGGATACAAAGTAGACAGTAATCAGGTACGGACGGAGGGGAGATACTATTAGGAACAATCATTTGAGGATTAATGATTGTTTGTGACGTGTCCTCCAGGAACTAATCGCCCTGGGTCTGAGTAACGCTGTTGGAGGGTTGTTTCAGAGCATAGCCATCAGTGGCTCCATTCCACGCTCCCTTGTTAATGAGAGCACAGGAGGAAAATCACAGGTTGTACTGTTTAAAAAAGCATCGCTGCAAAACCGTGACATTAGCTCTGAGAGGAGGAGAGGAGAGGAGATTTTAAATTTGAAATGAAAATGTAACTCCTTCTCCACAGTTGGCCGGAGCTGTGTCAGCAATAGTTATACTTATTGCCTTGTTCAGCATTGGGTCTCTGCTGAGTGATTTACCAAAGGTAAAGTCAAACATTCTGTTACTAGTTCAATTGAGTGTCTAGTACTCCTAACAGCAGTGTTGAACGTGTAGGCAGTGCTGGCTGCCATAATCTTCGTCAACGTAACAGGAACATTGAAACAATTCCATGACATCCCTGCACTGTGGAAGACCAGCAAAGTGGACATGGTGAGTTTACTAGATAGATACCTTTCAAATATTCTAAACCAGAGTTTCCCAACCTTTATTCAGCCACGGCACATACGTATATATATCATCAGGAAAAACCTCACGGCACAACAACAATAACAATATTCTAGTTTAAATTTTCTAAATATGTACTCCTGTTTACTTAAAGAAAACACTGATAAACTGACAGGAATTGAAGAAAGACACAAAGATCTTCAACAGCTCTGATAATTTTTTTTTATAGTTTTAATAGCCATCTGCTGCCATCTAGTGGACGATGATATAGTTGCTCTGCTTGTCACACTGACAAACAAACAAATATTTGCAATGAATAATTGGAAATTGAATCGAGGTGATCACTTCTCTGATCACCTCAGAATGGACATTTGGTGCTGTGGTTTCAGATAAAACTGAATTTATATTTTTAGTCTGGTTTTATTAGACCTATTAGAGCTGATAAATTATGGATAAACAATAACATTAACAGACTGTGTTTACAGTTGGAGCTTTTCTCCTACTGCCTTCTTTTCTCATCCTAATCTTCTGTTTGGTAATAGCACAGAGGGTTTGAACTACTGCCAGTGTAACTGTATAGTACTCTGTTTATTTTCAGTTCATATGGTTGGCCACCTTCATCTTCATCCTGCTGTTAAACCCTGATCTGGGACTGCCTGCTGCCATCGGCTTCTCCATGCTCACAGTCATCTTCAGGACACAGAGGTAGAAAATTGTTGTTGTCATGCAACGGCAACGGCCGTGTTTTTGTTCGCTGATAGTGACCCAGCATTCAGTCAGGTATGCTGACTCTTCAGACAGGCAACAACCCTACAACTGTCAGAGCAGACTGAGCTCCACTGTGACCAGGAAACAGATTATGCAGATGATATGATACGATGCAATATGATATGATATGATGTGATGGTAATACAATCACATTAAAGATGTTACAGTTTTATTTTTCTTGTCTTTTCCAGACCTAAATATTCACTGCTCGGTCAAGTCCAAGGTACTGACATCTATAGGCCGTTTGAAAACTACAGTCAGGTACAAGAACTTAAAGATTTCTTGTTTTGTTTTGTTTTTTAATTTTTTTAATTTTAATATATATCTATATGTCTTTCTGGAGGGATATCGTGTCAGATGAACAGGGACAAACCAGAGAAGAAGGATAAGACCTTGGCCTTATCAATATATACAAATATAACTGCTGAACTTCAGCAATTATATTCCTATATATTTGGAGATCTTTGGCTTCTTCGAAAAACAAAGTCCTTTGTGTTTGTGTTTTGTTCATTCACTTCATGGTGACCAATTACAGGTAAAGGCGGTGCCAGGAATTGTGATCTTCCGTTCTTCTGCCACACTTTACTTTGCCAATGCTGACATGTATAAAAATGCTCTCAGTAAAAAGGTGAGGAGAAAACACACACACACACACACACACACACACACACACACACAGGGGGGCAGTTGTCAAAGCCATAGGGTGGATTATTGTTACTTCTTTGCCAAAATGCCTCCTCAGTGCAGTGTCAGAGGCAGCCAGTTTCAGAATTTGACACCAGTGTGGAGCAGAGTCACTGAACCTGAGGCGTGTTCTCACTGACAGCATGTGATCACCTTTGTTTGGGAAGAATGAGTGTTTTATAAACGCACAATAAACTAAATTTCAACATGGCTGCAAACACGCCATTGCTGATGGTTCGATGTTATTCACAGTTTTATCTGTACACACATATATATGTATATATATATACATATATATGTATATATATCTATATATATCTATATATAGATATATATATATATATATACATAAATATGTATATATATAGTTACTCCTGAATTGTATTTAAATTTCATTTCAGATTAATTGTCTCTTTTGTTTTTCTTCTTTTAGTCTGGACTTGATGTTCATAAGATACTGGCAACAAAAAAGAAACAAGAGGCAAAAAGGCAAAAACTCCAGAAGGAAAATGCCAAGAGAACAAATGGAGAGGGGAAAGAGGAAGGGGGTGTTAGTTATTCTTTCTTTTTAAATTTCAATTTACTGTGACATTCAAGTACAACATGGCATGACTTGAGTGAAACCCTTCTGGTACTTTGTCGTCTCCTGTTCAGGGACCAAAGAAGGACATTGCAGTCATTGACGTGGATCCTGAGCCCTTTCCTTCTATCCCAAGAGCCATCATCCTGGACCTCAGCCCCGTTAACTTCCTGGACACGGTCGGAGTCAAAGCACTACAAAATGTATGGAGGTCAAAAATAAACAAAAAAACAAACAAACAAAGGGATGAGCAAAAGACAGGCTCTATGATAGGGATAGGATGGAGAACAAGAAGAAGAAAAATAAGAAAAAAAATAAAAAAAAAAATGTCCAAATTTGTCCGAAACAATATGCAAAAAGTAAAAGAAAAAAACCCAGCTGTTTCAAAGTTATTAGGAATAAATTCATAAAATGTACAGAACATACAGAAGGACACTGTAAGAGTGTGTAAATGTGATAGTATTGGTTTGATTGAAAGTAATACTGTTGGTATGAGCTACAATAACATCAGCAATGTTGAGTGTACATGTGTTTTTAAACTTTAAAAATATTTTTGTATAATGAGAGACTAGATGAGTAACAGTCAGAACATGTTGGGTTTATTATATTTTTAATAATTATCCACAGTGAACCACCTGTGTTTTCTAGCTTTTGTGTTGCTTTTTGTGTGCTGTTTCAGATCTACAGAGACTACGGAAAAATAGGTATAGAAGTTCTTCTGGCTGGATGTCAAAGTATGTCACACTCATATATACTATATATATTATATTATTATATTATATATATTATTATATTATATTGTATCATATTTTCTTTTTCATGCCCCCGCCCCCTCTCTCTCTCCACAGCTGGTGTAATGGACCAGTTGAAGATAGGAGGGTATTTTTCTGATAAAGTGACAAAGTCCTGTGTGTTCTCCACCATCCACGACGCTGTTCTGTACTGTCAGCCTGTCAGGAGAACAGCTGAGGTAATCTTGTGGAGTGTGAATATGTGAACTACTGTATACATTTATCATAAAAACACCAAATCAAAGCAAGTTGCGTGTCTTAGTTTTATCCCTATTGTTTTAATCCTATTCTGTCTTGTTTTTTGATCCACAGGAGTTCATAACCACTAAGCTTTGACTCTTGTCTTGTTGGAGCAGAGACCCTGGTTTACCCTGACGTTTGAATCACTGCTCATTTTCTTTCCAAGTTCAATTGTAGACATTTCACATATCATCCTAGAAACTCCTTCAGTTCGGAGGGGCAGTGGTAAACCTACAGATTTCCAGCTTGGTCACATGATCTGTGCACACGTTACTCCAACAATGATCGAAAACCTTCGTGGAGAGTCCGATCAGCTGTGGATCATGAACGAGTCAGTCGTTGGAGTCGCCTTCATTTTTACCATTATCGCGCTACTTTATTTTATTGAGAAAAAATCACAACACAATTAAACAGTGCTGAGAACAGGGACCAGATGGCTCCGCAGTTTTGTTTTTTTCTTTTTTATCCCGAGTCACAAAGTACCAAACATGTCCTAAACTGTACAGGACCAGAACTGTGGACCGACCTATTCAAGGTGAAGCTCCTCAGAGAGACAGCATGAAAACAAAATGATGCAAGAAAGCAAAGTTTGATGGTTTAATGAGTCAGTTAACCTTTTCAGTATTAACTAGGTTTACTGTATGAGCATGTTAAATTTAAAGTGATCATAACACACAGTTATGAGACATCCTCCCAGAATTCCTGTTGTAGGTGTTGTATATTACCAATTGTTTAACAAAGGCTCCAGTCGGCCACACATATTTATATGCAATTTCCAATGTAGTCATATCGGTGTTGTGCTATTTATTTTGTGTCAATATTAAGCGTGTAGTTCTCCTTCTCTCCCTCTGGGTGGTACCAAGTACTTTTGGCTGGAGTGTGATGGTTCATTACTTCTTTTATTTATATATAGATCTATAAAACGAATTCTTCCACTCAGTCAAAACCAGTCTCCAACGTCGTAAACACGAAGTAAAGCAGGAATTGAGAAAAGGCATCTGTATTTTATAGATGTAAAAAAAAGCTCAGTGGAAATGTAGCAGTAACAGTAAAATGAACTTAG